CTCCGGGCGGCGCATCACCGGTGGATGCGAAGGGGGGTAAGGAACGGACGTTGCCTGCTGCGCATGCGAACGGCTCGCCAGCACCTAGACAAGGTGGCCCCACGGACGACTTCGGTATGCGGGGTGTGCCGATACCGCAGCGGCCGTCGACATCTCATGCGGCGATGCCGGTGCCGGGGTCGATTGGTGCGTCGCTTTCCACGTCGACGTCGAGCACGGCGAGCGGGGTGGGGAGCCCTGCCCCGAGCACAAATGGCGCGAAGAAGCGCGCGATGAAGAAGCTGAGCTTTACAGCGCCCATGCTTGGGTTTGGACGCAGGGACAAGGATCGCCATAGGGATAGAGAGGTACCGCCACCGGGCTCATATGTGACTAGCAGATGACCGGACCACCAACATTTTCACGGACACGCCTGGTGCGGGGCCAGTATGCACTCCCGCATTCGTAGCAAGAGCCAAGCCCGCCGATCTGCTGCCTGGCATGGACAGTGCTTGTATGTGTGCGTGCTGCGTTTCGCTCTAGATCAGATCTGCCGCTTTCACTCTATGTTTATCGCTTTCGCATTTGTGTTTACCCTTTTACCCGGCGTGTGATGGTCTGCTGTCCGCGTGGACGTTGGTTCTTGTGTGCCCGGGGGCGGCAGCGGCTTGGATGCATTGCCCTCATTCACATATTCACCTTACACTTTCATATATCTACAGCACGATGTACGTATATCCAACTGCATAACTGGCATAATGAATTCTCGACTGACAGTGCTGGCGTGTGCCGTCGCAATAGTTGAGAGGCTATGTGTTCTAGGACGGAGGCAAATCAGTATGTATACGTGACTTCAAACAGCTCTTGCTTCACCAACTGAGTATGTGCGAGTTACTTACTGCTTCAATCGGCGCCCTTAATTTTCTGCCGCTCAAGGTTGCCTATCTCTATTGTTGTCCTAGATAGTGGAGTTTCTAACATGATAACGGCCCAGCACAACTATTCCAGTGCACTGTTTCAATCAGTCATGATCAAACCGAGAACTCCCTGTCATACTTCATCGTATCTATTCCCATTGCAGATGGTATAACTGCGATCAGTAGAGAAGAGAGCTATAACGCATATCGATGTTTTCGGGAGCCACCACTTCAGTCTCCCAGCCCTCTCAACGATCACTATTCGCCCTTCCACTCGCTAAGAGGTATGCAGCTATCGGACCAGGCGTAGATAAATCCTTCTGGGAATCGCGGGCAACGCATGCCAACGGTATCAATCGCCACTCCGAGTGCTTTCACGTCCTCGTCCTTGAGCTGGATCTCCCCACCCTTCGCATTCTCCTCGAGGCGCTGGACAGATCGTGTCCCAGGGATAGGAACGAAGTCGGGGTGCTGTGCGAGGATCCAGGCAAGCGTCACTTGTGATGAGGTCGCGTTGTACTTTGCGGCCACGTCACTGAATCTGTCGACAAGCTCTAGCACTTTGGGGAAGTTTTCCTCGCTGAAGCGGGGTAGCATCAGTCGGAGATCGTCTTGCGCAAAGTCTTTAGGGGATTTGTATCTTCGTACAATGAAGAACCAGAGTCAAATCTAGTTTCTTTCCGGAACATAAATAACTCACTTTCCGCTCATGACACCTAGATCAGGGGAAAAGGGTGAGTGCGACAGTTCATATTACCACCAAGAGACGTCCTACCTTGTCCTAGAGGGCAGTATGCGACAATGCCGACGCCGAGCTCACGCGCAGCTGCGACAAATCCAGATGTCTCAATTCCCAGCTCGAGCGGGCTGTATTCCATCTGGACAGCAATGATCTTTTCCCCAACACCCGGGACGGCTCTGGCGCGCCGCAGGACATCGATGCTACACTCGCTCAAGCCAAGATACTTGATCTTGCCGCTCTCGATGTACGGGCGCAGAGTCTCTAGCACGACTGTTGCACACTGTCAGCACTGATAGTACTTCCAGCGGCTCGAGCGAACGCACCTTCGATGGGGACCTCGCTGTCGACACGATGCTGATAGTAGAGATCGATCCATTCCGTCTGCAACTCCTTGAGGGAGTTCTCGAGTTGACGCTTGATATACGAGGGCTTGCTATTGGATTTATACTTGTTCTCGGCACCCGGAGTCGTGTCGAACGATCCGAATTTTGTCGCAAGGAATATCTCGGCGCGACGTCCGGTGTCCTTGAACCATTTCCCCAGTATCTCCTCGGCTATACCGAACTTTATGTGTATCGTGATGGGTGGAATGTAAATGAGCACGCACAGTTCCCATAGACGTCGGCAGTGTCCCAGAAGGTCAGGCCGCGATCGGCAGCGCAGGTGAGTGCTTTCATAGTCTCCTGTTCATCAGTCTTGCCATACCAGGCTCCTATGCCTGTTCTCTGCTCTCAAAAGGTGTGCAGGCGGTATCATGAAATAAAACGTACCCATAGCACCATAACCAACGGCACTGACCGTGGGTCCATTGCGACCGAGTTGTCGAGTGGGGTACTTGGCTATAGCTTTGCTCATTTAACTGGGCAATAGTTCGAAGGGTGCGATAAAGACACTGCCATCTGGAACGCGTCTGTGCTTTATATCCCAACGGCAACAGCGCCGCGAGTTCCACGCAAAACGATGGCGGACCTGGGGCGCGTGGGCGGGACCAGCATCTCGGAGTTGGTTGCTGCCAAGATACCGACCATTGCTAAGTCATCTCGGGGCGGGCTGTGGATGCACACCAAGATGCGACACCAAGTGAGTAAAGAAATCTGTGGTGAAGAATATTGTCATACTTTTTGTTCTGGATTTCCCTTTCAAGTACGAGTGTTTGATATTAATGTCCCTCGCCCACCTCGGGCCGTTTGGGGAGAATTATGCACTTCGAACTACTTACAAGACATTGGGTGAATTGTATAAAGACGAGTCGGAGCGAGCCCGAACACTTAGTACTGTACATACCCCACAGTAGAATCCGATCGGCGTGAGCCCGAGACGAGCCCGAGATGCACGTGCTCGCCGAGCGTCAGCGCGGTACCGTGGCATGGGCAAATATGCAGTGGCGAGTGACTAGGATTTTGTTGTTCCGAGCTTGCGCTAGGTTTCGTCATGGGCTGCTGCTGCACCCCGCCAACCCGGCGTGCAGTGGCTCTAGGCTCGTCGTCGTACACCATCTCATTCATCTGATTCCCACTGTCCTAAAGATTAAGCTGAACGTTTATTCAGAACACCCAGCCGTATCGACACCCTCTTCCTGCGGTATGCAATATTCTCCACGGATTCACTGTCTATCCATAGATTCCATTGGACGTGGCACTATCATCGTCCGTTTTATTCTATCATGGGCAGGCGGTATCTTCAAAAGTGTACTGAAGGTACCAATGTAAGGATGCTCAAGTAAATCTAATCGTATCAACGCACCTCAGACGCCCACCTCCGTCGAGCCGAGAAAACAGGAATGAAATTTGTTTGAACCAGTATTCCTGCTCTTTGCGACCAAGGAGGGACGCAGCACCGTCTGGGAAGAAGTCATCATCGATTTCGATGTGGAATCTCTTGAAACAAGGGTACCGAGGCCCAGCCAAGAGTTCATCAATGCGCTCACACAACTCGTTATCCAGGGTAGGCGAGCTTGGCAAAGCATCTATGATATCACCATGTCTGCGATCCAGTATCAGGGACACTTCAGAAAGTCTGGCCCCGTCTGGAATTGTTGAAAGGAACGTATAGAGAGAGCCAAGGTTCAAATTTCCATCTTCATTGAGAGATAGACGGAGCACGACCACCTCCAGCACAGCATTGTGCTGAAAATTGAGTTCATTCTCTTGAAATTCGAAATTAATATCGGCAGAAATCACAGGCTATGAACGACGCACCCAATGTTCCCCAGTCATTGCGATCACGAACATCAAGGTGGAGATCAAACGCAGCGAGCGATGGAGCGGCGGACTGTAGAATGTTCCAGAAGTCCCCATATGGGGCTTGAGGGCGAACAATGGTGAGATGGTTCAATGCTCTGCCTAGCGTTGTCGAAGTGAAAAAGTCGACAATGTCGTAGCAAGTATGATCGATCTCGAGACGCGCGGTAGAGTTGGGTGGTATGAGAAGTAAACGTCGTTCAAAGCCATGAGAGATGAAATGCAACGATTTACATTTGAGGTGGATGAGGCTGGGGAGTGCACATACAAGTCTGCCGAAAACGAGAAGCGAGGGTATTGTCACTTGGATGAGTGAAAGATAGGTGACAGAAGTAAATATCGTCAGGTAACGATATGTGTCAATGTATGGCCGAGGGAGTAGTGCCGGGTCGAGAATAAGTCGATTTTCCTTAGGGGGCCGTCCAATCGACGCTCCTGCCAGATAACGTCTACTTTGAAGGGTTGGTTGCACGGGATTGATGACTAGACTCTGCACCCGCGTGAAATGGCAAGGCATCGTAACAGCAAATTGCCAAAAGGCATCAGGCGCACGAAAAACGACGTCCTGTATGCTTTCCCGAATATCCTTTCTAGCCTTCAGCAGACGCATGATTCGGCATACCATCCGTATATCGTGAAACTCTAAGCCTTTACGGAAAGATTGGAAGAAGTTGTCTTCACACCTTGGACGCCAGTCTCGACAAACGAGCGCATATGCTTGCCACTGTCCTACTTGATGCGGGAGAAGATCGAGAGTGAGATAATCTATAACTTTGTGCCAAAGTTCAAGCGGCAACGCCTTGACAGCAACAGTGGCTTGAATTGGTTTTGTGGGTGGCTGAAACACTAATCCGCGTACAATAGAATGGACACGCTGGTCAAACCACTTATGTGTTGGTTTCTCCACATGATCAGGCCATGGAATCGGCTTATGTCCTGCTGGATATGTGGGGCTCTTGGACAGTGCTACTAAAGCTAGCTTTAGGTGAGCACTGCCAATAGCTCAGTAGTTGTTAGCAGCACTTACTGGACGGCACCACTTGCGATGGCAAGACAGACGACGTCGGTGAATAGCTAGAAGCTGATTCTGGTGTCCCCATCATCTCTTGATATCCCCGCAGGGGAGACATAGATGTCTAGGGGGACAACCTACTGCGTGGTCGTACCTGTGAATATCGATCATCTTAATGCTGTATGCTTAAGTAGTATTTCTTTACTGAAGCGCTCACTCTTATCGTGTGGTCCTTCGACCGTTCACGGAGGTAATATCTGCTCGGGACTGGATTCGATGAATAGGTCAAGATAACGACATCGGTGAAGTTCCGACCTGCAATTGTAGACAACACAGAATGTAATTGGTGTTCAAGTTCTTCCCCTTCACACGTTATGTCCACAGGATGTAATATCTGCACAGGTCCCGTGGGATTCACAGGAAATTATCTGCGCTTTGAGGGTTTAGAAACTAAGTTCAACAGAAGCCAATACTTTCCAGCCTCGTGTTGCATCTGTTGACATCAATGTGTCAGAGTAATAAAGCTTCAGCTATTCGAAATAGCAAGATTCCCATAGGGTGGGCAGCCACCGTCTGACGGAAATCAGGTCCACAGGACGTCAGCGAGGATAAGGTTAAATGAGTGAAGGCGATAGGTGAATAATTATGTCGATGAGCATGGCGTTATCTGGAGTGCCTCACACGGCATGTATGTGTATACATACCCGGCGCGGAAACAGACCGGCTTCAGATGGTAGGCTGTCAACAGGAGATCATGACTCGGTCACCTAGTATCAGCCGCTCGACCAATTGTCGTACATAGCTGCACTTTCGCGTCCGTTTACAATCCTTTAGTAATGTTACACAAAGTGCTTCCATAGCCCCTCGAGGTTACTTTGACTCTATAGGGCTTGCGAGAACCAGGAGGATATACGACGTGACGAAATGTCGGGCAGGTACTAAGCTTCATCGGATAAGTGGAATGAATGACTTCGGGAAATGAGCGTACGTTCAGATCATTGAGGTTGCGCAATATGCACATGGAGAAGCAATCTGCAGACGTGATATGACCAGTGTTATAGACCGACACGAGTAGAACTCTTACTGACAGCATAGGCCCTCTTTGAAAGGCGAGTGAAGACAGCATTTAGAAAATACTGTTCTTAACGACGTAGAAGATGACACGCAGGGATAGTAAAATTATTCCCATTTCTACATCATCTGTGCTCGAATATGATGATGATGATAAAATCAGCATTTATATACTGCAACAAGCAAACAAACGTGCTAAGACGCGGTGATCTGTGCTCGGATATACTGTCGATCACGGCCAGCGCGTAAGACAAACGGCACAAGAGCTGGCTATTTTCGATTTGCATACCTTTTATCCTTTGCCACGTTCTATCAATACATACTGATCCTTCTCAATTAACTTGGCCCTTAAATCACGATTTGGTGAGCGTCCTTGGAATGGCGTAGCAGCCATCATGATGCCTGCCGATGCACTGCGCACATCATAGTCATTAAGGCGAAGGTAAGATCAATGGTAAAACTGCAACGCAGGCCGGTCCACGGCATACCGCACATCACTTAAAATGACATTGTTCGCGCTAGAAACGTTTCACCAAAAATGAAGTCGGTGTAGACATAGTCTTCTGAGTTGTTAGCATGGACATAGACTTGAATTGTCTTAAACGAGAGGAGGAGGACTGGCAGGAAATTGAGGACGATGCGATCAAGAGGCGTGCGAGATCCGAGCCGTTGCCAACACTAGCCTTTATAGAAACAAGGACTGCGAAGGATTCGAGTTGCTAACGCCCGCCGCACTCTGCACTCAGGCACTGGGCAGTAGGCAGGCCACTGCAGCTGGCTTGGCTTAGCCGGCCAGTGCGTCTGCTCGCCCGATCCTCCACTGCACTCGCCGCATTCGGGCAGACTACTGGCTTGGCTTAGCCGACAAGCTCTAGTCCACTTGTGCAACGGCTTCGGGCGCACTGTGCTAAATTCAAGGTCACCGGCATCATTTTCATACGTCAAATTCCTGTGGGTTTCAAGGTGGTATGGCCCTACTCACTTCGCTGCTTGCATACTTCTTCAGCAGATGGGCACTACTTTCAATTCCTTGGCTTTCGTGTACCAATCTCCTTTCCATTAGCTCCTGCCTACCTCCTTGTCCAAAATGTCCCAGATAAAATTTATCTCACCCTGAGTCTCTAGTTGTTGTCATACATTGTTAGTGTGTCTATAGTGCACTCCCCATTGTAACCCTGTTTGTGTATGCATTCGTGAGCACGTGTCCTTTGTATTGGGGGACTAGTAGCACCAGGGTTGGTGCATTGGCAATTGTCCGAGAATGTCAACGAGAGGCGCTTTCTAATATGCTATTGTGCCGCATGCTATCAGCATGATGGTGGAGCGGCTGTACTGGGACTCCCGAGTCGTACCCCACCTATGTTTGACCACCCTGTGATTAACCAGACGATGTCAAATGACACCACATCAGAGTGAGTATAATCTTCGTTTATCTTTTCTCTCAGTGCCTTTGACCAGTTTCGACATGGGTGTCGTAGACGACTTCCAGAGGTCGATCGAGATCGTTCCCAGACACTGTTAAGTTCGCCCCATGTCCGGTCTGACCGTGACGCTGCAGTGGATAAAGTAGTGTAAGTAAAGGCCCTCCTACCCCGGTAGCTTGACTTATATGCAACGACTCACATCAAACAATGGCCTCTGCGCACCCCAGCATGCCGTCTAGAGTGGACGAGATGAGGTATATCTCTGTTACTTTCCGACTTCCAAGTTCAAAGTTATACCTAACGACATCGTATTCCAAGTGCCTCTATCCGCTTGCTGCATCCACCAGGATCCCTACCACAAATAACTTCGATGGAACAGACCGAGTGCGTAAAAATTTTTATCGCCATCATTTCTCATCTGATCTATGTAGTGCGCAAATTTGTAGTGTCAATTCACCCTTATTTCCCAGCATGAAGACACAGAGTGATGGGGATGGACCTATGTGCGTATAGCTCTCGAAATGAAAGAATCTCGCTGATTCTTGTATAGACCCGACCTCACTAGCACATCGGATAGCTCTTTACCCGCGCTAGCGAAGCCCCCTTACATGACTTCGGCGGAGATCGTCGACTACATTTTGCAACAGTGTTTACTGCCACAATTATGGAAATGTGCCATGTCCTTCATTGATCGCTTTAATGAAAGCGGCAGTCTCGCCGATATGAATACCGCGATAGCAAGTTGGGACGCCGCAGCACAGCTCATGGCATGGACTCATCCATTCCGGGCGCTATGTCTAAGCTATCTTGGCACTTTACTCGAGCAACGCTTTGAAATACTCGGCGATCTCAATGATATTACAGCATCAATTCTGATCCTGGAGGAAGCTGTAGAATTGATCGAAGACAGCGACTCTACAAAAATTACCGTTTTGCATGATCTGAGCACCTCGTTGTTGAGCCGCTTCGAACGGCTGGACGACCTTGCCGATCTTGACACGCTGATCTCGGTATTACAAGATGTTACCCACCTTACCTCAGATGTTCATCCTCACAAGCCTAGTTATCTGAATAACCTTGGCATCTCCTTCTCCCGTCGATTTCAGCGGCTGGGTAACCCAGATGACCTGGATAACTCGATATCGGCGATGGAACACTCACTGAAACTTACCTCAGACCGTCATCCCGACAAGCCTGGTCGCTTAGGCAACATTGGAAACTCATATTCTAATCGGTTCGAGCTGCTAGGCGAGCTCATCGACCTCGACAAGTTGATTTCGGTGCTGGATGATCGTGTGCGTCTTATTCCACATGGCCATCCACTGTGGCTCAGTGATATGAGCCGGCTCGGTACACTATCATGTTACCGCTTCGAGCGGCTGGGCAATCTCGCAGATATTGACCGGGCGATTTCAGTGCGAGAGGACGCATTACGCCTCACTCCTCATGACCATCCTGACAAGCCGGGGTATTTGAACAATCTCAGCACCGCACTGTTGACTCGCTTCGAGCGGCTGGGCAATCTCGCAGATATTGACCGGGCGATTTCAGTGGAAGAGGACGCAGTACGCCTCACTCCTCATGACCATCCTGACAAGCCGGGGTGTTTGAACAACCTTGGCACCGCACTGTTGAATCGCTTCGAGCGGCTGGGAAATCTCGCAGATTTTGACCGGGCGATTTCAGTGGAAGAGGACGCAGTACGCCTCACTCCTCAT